ACATGAATTATGCCTGGTCAGACATCTTGGGGCTTAGGTGCTCATCTTGGATCTGCCATTCAATTTTTCTGCCTCATTTAGCAAGAGCTGTAATCTCTGTGCAGCTAACAGGGAAGGCCTTACACAAGCATTTTGAGACCCTCACTTAGGTAGCGTCAAGATGGCAAAAATACAAGAGAGTTTTCCTGGGGATTTCTGTGCTTTACACTTTGCTCATTTTCTCTATAATGCATTTGAATTACTCAACATGAATTTCCAAATGTAAATGGAGAGTGCTATGTTGGAAGAGTATTACAGATAATTTGCAGTGCTTTGTGTGACAGGGATGAATACAGGGAGGCAAAGTTCATGTTGGCTCAGTGTCCTCAGACAAATAGTTTTGTGGCCACTAGAAGAAGTTTTGGTAGTTCTTTAAAAGTTAATATTAATCCACTTTTGCCACATATTAATTTACATCAGTCAACCTTTTCCCAGTACTGTCCTATTATGGTAATAGTAAACAGTTTAGACATTCTATGTCCAATAAACACTCCAGCAATCTGACTGGTCTCTCTCATGGGTGTTATGGGAGAGGTGGGTGAATCCTGCTAATATTATCTCATAATGAGCAGTATTACACAAAAATGTCCTTGAGGAATGGAAGTGCACAGTGATGTTGAGCAGCACTTCTGTATCTGCCTGTTGTCTGGAGAACTGAAATTACTGGCCAACCATGACGAGATTTCATGGACAAATATGCAAAATACAGGTGATAAATTCTTACTAAACACCGCCACTTTGGGGAACTGTGATATATAGTCACCAAAGTACTTATACCTAAACTGAATGCAGCTTTACTGTTCAGCCACCTCTGGGATAATAAGGTTCTGGCACCTCTTTTCTTCCCAGTCGTGTTCGCTGGTGGTGTCAGACCTTGTTGCCCAGGTCGCAAAGTGGTTGTAACACTGCAATTCACTTATCACTGAACACCCTAATATTTTAATACAATTGAGAGCTCTTTGCTGAAAGATACCACACAACAGGGAGCTAAACATTATAGTGGTGCTGGACTAAAAGGCTTTTTCGGGAATATTTTGACTGATTGATTAGGGTCTTTAGTTCAAGAACAGCCTCCTGTGTTTTCACTGTAATGTCTTTGATTTGTTCTTTTCTTGCTTGGAGTGAGACTGTTTTCTGTATTTTCTTTCCAGGAAAGGACAATTTCACTGAGTGAAATTGCCGAAATGATGGGCCCCAAAGGCCAGTCTCAGATGGCAGCCTCTGGGTCAGCCTGATTGCAGGCACTGTTCTCTTGGACAGGGAGTACTGGAGACGCTGCTTTTCACCCCAAATCAGAAACAAATGGTATTGTGAAACTGCAAAGATCTCTGAAACAGAAAAAAATGTTCACCTCCCACACAGTGCTGTGAGCTGTGCCAGATCCCCCCCTAAAATGCAGCATTTGTCCCTGAGAAGCTAAATCTGGAGAGAGTTTAGCTCTTCCATTTAGTTGGATACTTTTGAGAAAGCCTTATCCACCAGAGGATGTATCTGTGCTTATTTGGTAGCTTGTGCCCTCCAGAGTAAAAGTGAGCTGTGTCTCCTGGTGGGGAATGTAACTGTGTGCTGGGGCAGGAATAGGGCTGGTTGTGGAAACCACAGGGAAACAACAAACTGAGGGAGTTAACAGGGTAATAAGTGAGCTCCTTGGCACTTCCCTACGAGTGCAACATATTCCACAATAAAAGCCCTGGGAAGCCTTCTCTTTTATTGGAATGCGAAATATGGTTCTAATGAATATGGGGTGTTTCACAGAAGATGGCTGGACAGCAGCACCTCTTTTTGGAGAGGACAGTCCCTTCTCCTTGCTCACTATCTCTGGGATCTGCTGTTGCAGCCCAGACTGAGCATCCTCCTGCCTGGGGAGGAGCCCTGGTCCCTACCCACCCTGCAGCTCCCTCTCTGCTTGAATGGCTGCTGGAGCAGGGAATGAATTGTAGTCTCACCATAACAGGGTGAGAAACTGGTTTGCTCATGCACAGGAGAGCAGCAGCTCCCAGAGGAAACAGGCTATGCTCCTCCCACTGGCTCACAGGATGCCAGGCTGCAGGATTCAAGTGTCCCAGAAGAGGTTGTGACAAAGGGCAGGTCATTGTGCCCAGCTTTCCTCTATGACTTCAGGGTAGCAACTTACTTTTATTAGAAAACGGAAGGCCAGAGCCTTATCTAATCCCAGGGCCAGACAGCTGGAGCCTGAGGAAAAGCAGCTGCTTTGCATGGACACTGCCAGTTAAATAAGATTGAAAACCCAGTATAGAATCATAGAATCATGGAATGGTTTGTGTTGGACGGGACCTTTAAAGGTCACCTAGTCCAATACCCCTGCAGTGAGCATGTAATGCACTAGGGAAAATCTCTGTGCTGCAGATGCAGTGTGTGAGCTGCTGGGATCAGGGATGCACCCAGGGCAGAGGGAAATTTCTGATGCACAAAAGCTCTCACTGAAGCTTTAGTGCCTCAAATCCTGCACTCCTCTGAAAATCCATTCTTAGATGTTTCAGACTGAAGCTGCAAATGTTGAAGTCCCCTTTTTATCTCTCCCAGTTAGTCAATGCTTTTGACATTAAATGTAAATGTAAAATAGGTGGAGGGTATAGCTCACACACCCAAAGGGGGTGTAATCCAGTGGTCCCTGCTTGCACCATGTCCCCAGAACAGAGAAGGGGAGCTCCAAAGTGTTCCTGAGCTCTGCACACCTAATGGGACATGCAGAAAGTATTTTGCTTCTCCTTCTCCATAGCAAATACAGAGTCACCAAGCTGAACGTTTGCAGGAATTGTCATGAACTGTAGTGAAGAAAGATGATGCAAGGCAGAAGGTTCCTCCCAGGATTTTCTGCCTCAAGCTTTCAACTTATAGCTGATATTTCAAAGCTGTGTTTAGAAAAGCACCTCATCTTGACTCCGAAGGTAGCAAGTCTACATTAGACAAATGTTCTTATGATGAATGTGAATTCAGGATGCTCTCTGTATTTCTTATCCATCACATCCCTTGGCTTCTCACCAGTGCGTGCTGCTCACTGGGGCTGAAATTTATACTGGTGCAAACTGGAGCAAAGGAAACAAAAGGGTCTCACTACTGATGCTCTAGGCTCTTGTTGCAGTTTGGACAGTTGCTCCATCACCCAACCCCACCCAGGAGGGGGAACTGGGAAAAGGAAAGGAGACCCATGGTTTGAAATGAAAACAGATTTAATAGAATAATAACAATGAACTAACGTTAACCGCAATGCTAACATAAGATACAAAGTTATATTCATCTGCAGACAGTACTTGTGAGCTGTGTCCTTCAAGCAGTGCAGGATGAATGCCCAACAGTGCCAGCATGACAGCTTGGTGAGAATGTGGTGGTCACAGCAAGTAGAGGAGGAGGCCTCTGGTGTGGGATGAGTTACAAGACAGACAGGACCCTCTCTGGAAGCAACCATGCCAGAAGCCCCAGACATCTCTGCAAACTTCCCATTTTATAGTGAGGGTGATATTAATGGTATGGAATACTGGGGTTGGCCAGCTCAGGTCAGCTGCCCAGGGCTTCCCTCCTCTTGGCCCACTGCACCTGCATGGTTCAGAACTACCCTCAAGCTTGGTCCCTGTGGAAACCAATGTCCCAGAGCATCGTACCCATTTTGTTCTCACAGAATTGGACTCTGCAGTCTCTCAAAACTACAATTTCTCTAAACAGGAAAATTATTTTAGAATTCTGTCCCAGCAAAACCAGGACAGCTCTGCAGCAGGCAAATTAGTGTTCAAGGCTATGTCATGTCCACATTTATCATATTAATTGATAGATCATAAACATGGCTCTGTACACAGTCTTGGATTAATTCCTGCAGAGGGCAACTGAAAGGCTAAATTGGATTAAGTAAAATCAGATTTGTATGGCTGTAGGCTGCTGGATGTCTCTTTTAGTCTCCCATGCAGCTGCTGGATGTAACACTCTGGACCCCTCATGGAGTTAATCCAGTGATGTTCCATGCCCATGACTAGAGAGATGCTGGTGTACACCAGATGAGGATCCAATCTGTAGCACAATGTCTGTCCACCTCACGTTAGGTTTCATACTGCAGACATCTGATTGTACCAGATCTGTTAAAATACATTTGAACGTACAAGAATATGTCCTGGAAGCATGGTGGCCCCTTTCCCTGGGGCAAGTAGGACTTGGAGCTTCCCTCCACATGGCATGGCTGATCCAGACAGGTCTGCCCACACAGAGAGGCTGTGATGGTGTGAATCGGTCTCTGGTCCAACACGAGTTTTGCAAGGCAGCCCAAAAATGAGGAAAATCTGCTGAAACCCCTGAAGGGTCATGGGGACTATCCTGGAGTGCAGAGTGGTTCATGTGCTCCATGTCCTCCACTTGTGGGGTTTGATTGTCCTCCAAGGTTTTCCTCTTCAGGCAGGTAGTGGTTTGTGGCATTGGGTCACAACGTCACCAACCTTGTGTCATGCCAGCTTGGCCAGCTGGTTCATGGGGAAGGAAATGAGACTTTGGTGATACCACACCCCTGAGCAAGCTTTGCCCCTCAGTTGCTCAGGGACACTAATTATGAAGAAGGCTCTTGCTCTGTTGCTGTATAATTATGGAACACACAGTCCAAGCCTCGATATAGTTCTAAGTGAACTGTTTTGGCTTCTTCCTGCTCTCTGAAAAAAGTCTCAGTCCTGGACCAATCAAATAAGCAGCTTCCTGGCCATAAAGTCTGAATTGAACACAGGGTGGGCACAGTGCCTGGCCTGGAGCTGCTGCCCAAGACCTCTCACACTAGGTCAGTTGTCTTGGCATGTCTGTTGCCTTTGGTTTCTCAACTTGGAGTAGCAAGTTCAGAAAACTGTTCCTTTCCTCATGGCAGTCAAAAAGTTGTGTTTGCAGAGGAGCAAGGCAGGGTAGCAGATTTTGGGTCATGCCATGGAGGCAGCGTAGGAGGAGGGAGGGTGCTGACTGCTGTTTTGGTTCTTCTTTTAGAAGCAGCTGATGATCATCGGGGCATCAATTTCAGTGAAGAGTGTCCTGCCCTCCCCACCATCAGGGCTCTCCAGTACCAGACAGGCTTGCCGAAAAATTGCTGCTCTCCTGCTGCGCCTCAGCCCCCGGAGCGCCAGGACAGCCAGGACATGCTCCTTCCTGCAGAAACCAAACAAGATCTTGCTCAGCCCTGGGGAGAAAAGCCAGCTCAGAGGTCACCAATGAACAACCAGGCTGGAGATGGAGCAAAGCCATGGCAAAGCTCCAGAGAAGGTCCCCTCACTGTGCTGGGGGAGCCACCAGCACGGGGGTGTGCAGCCTCTGGGGGAGCGGAGGCAGTGAGCATCAGCTCCTACCACCCTGCACTGGTGGGACACCCTCCTGCTGCTGCTGCTTAGGGGAATTTTCTCCTCTATTTCCATACACATGATGTCTTTTGCAAGTTTTCCTGAGAGGCTGCAGCCTTTTTTTTAATAATTATTTTGAGTTGCGTAATGGAAATGCTAATATTTCTGAAGATGACAGGCACTAATTAGATTAGAGCTGGGAAAGCCAACTTGGAAACATATCCTGTTCCAGTAATGTCTGTATATACAAATGCAGCACCATCTCCAAGAGCTCAGGGGAAGAATTAACAGAGGCCTGAACAGGAAGCCATACAGGTCCAGCAGGTTCCACCTTCTTGTCCAAGCTTAATTGTTAAAAATAATATTACTCAATAATGGAAAGCCAGGAAATAGATCAATAAAGAGGATGAGCCTTAAAACCTGACTTGGGTCTCAGGCTAGTGATAAAAAAAGTACCACAAATCACAGCCTTGTAAATGGATTTTCTGCCTGGAAAATTGTTTCCAAATAGCTAAGCCTGACTAGCCCTCACTGACTTCCCCATCCTTCCCAGAACAGGCACTGCCTCCTTCACCCCCTCAGTCTCACTACTACAATTAAGGCTTTTTGTGTGCGTGTGTGTGTGCAGGATAGGTGTGTTCACCTAGGAAATTACTCAGGAGCAATTATTCTTTTTCAAGTCCGTATCTTGAATTTCCCCACACAGATAACCCTGAAGCATATTTGACCCACTCAAGTTAAATATACTTACAAAAAAACATTGAGCCTCAGTTTGGGGGAGAGGAAAACAGATTTATTTTTTTTTTCTCCTAAGTATTTGAGGATCTACTTCAGTCTCCTGAGCTATTTGTTAAATTTATAGTTTATTTTGAGTGTTTAAATGTTATCCAGCAGGAACTGTGTAGCTCAGTGCAAAAGCCTTTGGTCTTCTCTGAAGCGAGTCTGATGAAATGGAATTTTTTGGAAGCTGTACCATTGATATTCCTTTTCAATGGCTGGTAGAAGAGCTGTAGAAGACAAGGTAACTTCTGATTCGCAGCTGCTTAGCTATGCACAGAGCTAGTAACTTTGTTTACTTTTCCAGTAGCCTTATATTTTGCAGATGCTGCTTTGGAACAGCAAATGGAAAGTGCAAAAGAAAGAATTTGTTATTTATTCCAAAATGTACTGGTTGCTTTGAGGACCTTTCAGAAACTGCAGCTGAACTGTGTCAATGTTTGCTGCACTTTGAGATCTGAGCCTGGGAACTCAAGACAAACTATTTGCTCCAAAACTGGACCTTGCAAGTTGACAAACTGGTGGTGCCCTGGAAAACAACCTGGAGCTTTACAGTGTAACAAGGTTTGTTTGGAGCAGTAAAATGGTGCCCAGTGATAGGACACAGGAATGGTACAAAGCTACATCAAGGGAGCTTTAGAATTGACATGAGAAAGCATTTCTGTATCGACAGGGTGGACAAACACTGAAGCAGGCTTCCTGGAGAGGTGATTAGTGCCCCAAGCCTGTCAGCACTTAAGAGGCATTTGGACAATGCCCTTAATAACATACTTGGACTTTTGGTTAGCCCTAAAGTGGTCAGGCCGTTGAACTAGATGATGATTGTAGGCCTATTCCAATGGAAACCTATCCTATCCTATCCTATCCTATCCTATCCTATCCTATCCTATCCTATCCTATCCTATCCTATCCTATCTCCTCCTATCCTGTCCTGTCCTGTCCTATAATGAAAACATTTTTAAGTCACTTGTGTGCATCATAAGATCTAGCAGACAGGGGTAAGAAGAGAAAGGATACAATCATAAAGAAAGAAAAATAAAGCTAGATTCCCCTTGTTGCTGGCACCTTGACCTCTAACATGTGGCTACCAGCAGAGAAGAGCCTAGCCAAGGCACAGGGCGAGCTTGTGCTGGTTGGGATGGAGCCCAGCAGATCTGGTATCTGCCATTTAATGTACCTGATATCTGGATAATCCTGGCACAGGTCTGTGACATAGTCCTTGATCTTGTCTTTTTTTGTCTCCCCAATGATACTGGTAATGTGTTGTATGGCAGGAAGGAGCCAGTAGGAGTCAGAGCCCTGCAAATGAGGAGACATATGGGGACATCAGGGGGAAGCACAGCACCTGCAAAATGCCATTTCCCCTGCACTGCAGGGTACAGCCATGGGTTGCTTTTATTGGTGCAAGGTTCATAGCCTGCTCTGGGTGAGCAGGGTGCTGCTGGGGGGTAGCAGGGTGCTGGCTGAGGCAGTACTGAGGGCAAAGGCAAAGCACCCCCAGGAGCTCTGCTGGGGCTTGACTGCACTCCCTGGTGCTCCATGGTGAGCCAGACCCGGAGCAGGGTGTTGTGGTCACAGCCCAGCATGGCAGCAGATGCCAGGGACTTCACCTCCTAACCATTTTGAGAGCCTCATCTCTGAGAGTGATCTGCCTCTGTGGGATTTAATGCCCCAGACAACTGATTTTCTGTGAAAACCAATTAATTCAACTTCAGCTTCCCTGAAAATCCCAGACCAATGTTGTCTAGTCAGAAAACATGCAAACAGCCACAATTTACTCCCCATCATCTTCCTGCTTGCAGCGTGAGCCTGGATGGACCTTCTTGACAGACTCATCTCCATGAGCTGCTCCCAGGGCAAGGATCCTTCAGAGGCAAGGTGCATCCTGTGGCCCAAGGCAACAGGAACAGAAAGAAGTTGCCATAGGATGAGTGTGACCCTACAGCACATGAACCACCCTACATGAAGTGCCAATGCCCTGGGACTCTGTTAGAACACCAGGTGCTGCAATGGGAGCACCAGCTAAGCAGGCACAAGCCACTCTTGCACCAGTAGCCAACAGGATGGAAGTCCACATGATGAACCAGAACAATCACCTCCCTTTTAAGCTCTCTTTTAAGCACTTTCAGATTTCTTGCGGCTTGCCCTCCTCAAGGGCCTGCCTCCTCCATCCCTGGAAAGCCAAGCAGGGACATTGCAACTCCAGGAATGGGGCAGCCAGGGGATGGCAGGAGGGAATGCACGTACCTGGTCAATGAGCCTGTCATTAAGGATTTTGGCTTCCTGCTTCATCTTTTCACTCACTTGTTCCCGTGTCTCCCTGTTCATTTTCCACCTGGGTTTGATGACCTGTGTGATGTATTCCCTCACCACATACTTATGAACATCACGTAGAAGCTCCTGGTTAAAAAAAGCACAAACCTCGTGGTTTTTCTGCAGTTCCCATGCAAGGCCATGGCAGTGAGAGAAGGCAGGGGAAGCCCTCATGTCTTTAGCAGTAGCTGAGGGTGTAGAGAAGATGACTCCCAAAGGCAGCATCTGCTGCCCAGGCCAGCCCTGCTGAAGGAGCTGGCAGCTCAGAGTGATGGCAGTGCCCAAGGGAATGCCATGGAAATACTCCTCACCCTGAAATAGCTCAGTATTTTGTGTTGGTAGTTTGGATTCCTCAACAGCAAAGGGGCGTGATTTAGGATTGTTTTAAAAGTAGGTTTTGATGGAGGCTGCAGATTTTAAATATAGAGCTGTTGTCACCTACCAATGTATTTTACTACTGCAATAGATGTGGAAGGAGAATATAGGCCTGCAACTCATGGAATCATGATGTTCACCAAAGCTTTTTGTTCCTCTTTAAGAAATCAGTTCCTGTATTCAAACTACAGAAAGGAGAGATGTTGCTTATTCTTATGTAGAAGTACAGTTAATAGCTGAACTCCCCCCCTATCAGCAGTCACCATGGCTATGAACAACCCTCACTGTTGGAGAGGAGTCTGCAGGTCAGACCACAGCCTGCAAAATGGCTGTGACAACCCCCCAGCATCACTACACCCAGGCATGGGACCATCTGGTTACCTGCCCCATGGGCTCCCTCATGTGCTGCAGGTGCTCAGAGAACTGTGAGACTGCTGATGCCAGTGAGCCCGGCCTCTCCATCTCCAAAATCCAGTCCTTGGTCAGGATTTTCTTAAAGAGTGGCTGAAAAAAAGACCAATATACTGATGGCACCAGTAGTGTTCAGATTAGCTGATATGCTAGTTGAAGGCACCCAGCTGGATGCCTGCTCAGGGATCTCAAACCAAAAAGCACAGAGCACTGATGTTGCACCCACTGTGTGTGGAGGCACACCAGGAGTTAGGCACCAGCAGCACAGAGCAGGCTGGGTTTGTCTCTCCACGCATGGAATTCAGACTCATGTCTCCTTTCTCTGGGTAGGCACCCCAATGCAAACAGGAGAAGCATCACTCCCCTAGCAGGAGATGTTTTAGCATTAAAGACTTATTTGGGACACCTGGTTTCCTTGCTTTGTGCCTTTTAATTGACCAGCTATTTCCATAGATAAATATGTTTGTATCCCTACTGTATGAAGAACGAGAAGTGAATGTTAATCAGAGGAAACTCAAGCATGGTTAGAACTGTAGTGTACAACCAAATATGTGAGCATTACATGGCTTTGTACTAGCAGGGGACATGACAAGTCACTTCGTAGTGAATCTGCTGGAAATCAGCCCAGTAATCCATCACCCCTCCAGGCTCCTCCACAAGGGAGTCACACTTGTCTTGCGTACAGCACCTTCAGGGACCTGTCTGTGCTGCCTGCAGACCTGTGTGTCTGCACAAAGTGTCACTGGGATGTTCCTTCTGCTTATTGCTCTGATGCAGTGTGAGGAGAACAGCACCTGGGAGCATCCCCAGTTTGGTGCCTCATGGTCAGTGATGACATGGGAGTGATGCCACCATTTCCAATCTGCCTTTGGTACAAGGTGCTCTGACTATGTGTCCCCAGTGGGCTGTTTCCCTGGCTTGGTCCCTAGAGCTCCATATAGAAACACAGCAATATATTCTAAAGGCTTCTGGTGGCACCTGGAAAATATTCCTTTAAGGGCCAAATTCAAAATATCCCTTCTCTGGCACATCCCCTTTGTACTTTTCTCCACACTAAGGATTTCTGTCTTTGGACTCCTGGCAATGTCCTTCTCAATTATTTCCCCCACTCATGCCTTCCTGCTGTGCTCCCAGCCTGTGGAAGGCTGTTTAGAAATGCCTTGCCTCAGCCACTCTCTCATTCTCACAGAATTTCAACTCTCTTGCTCAATGCCTTGGCTTGACTCCCTCTTTGCCTGCCCCTTAGGCTCTGTGACAAGCTCTGCAGTCACTGGAAAGTCCCTTTCATCAGTCAGGCTTGGAACTGGAGCAGTTGTGTGACTGTCTTCGTTTCTGAAAATTATGCCTGGTGATTTAGAAAGTGAATTAGGATGAGTGAAAAGGAGTGTGACCAAAAGCTTAATTTCTCCAATCTCATGTTAGACCAGATAGGGTGAGTGAACCTCAAGCTGTCTGAGAGCAGAAAGTTCCATCTATAGCACTTGGGAACCACAAACTTCAAAATGCTTTCAAGTGTCTCAACACAAGTTAAGCTGATATTGGAGCTTTATCAGATGATATCAGAGCTTTAGCATCCTCACACTGAAAGAATCTTTCTTTTTTTCACCATGGAAACAGTCTGGAAAAGCCACCTCTATCAGAATGAATTCTGTCCTGTCTGAAGAGGTTGATAACAGACTGTGATGGCAGATCAAGTAAGAATAAATCAAAGTCCTTAAAAATCAAAATGTTTTGATATAAGAAAAAAAATGTCTCACTGGAAGTGTCCAGCTGACTTTTCCAGTGCTTCACTACAGGCAAGGTTTTCCTCCACTGCTTTGCCTGAGATGCTAGAACCCACTATACACTCTTTTGTTTTGGTTGCTGTTGTACCAAAGTAAACCACTTGACAAATGTCCCATTGCTCATAGTAAGAAGCTCCCAGGATGCTGGAAGTGTCACTTTGGATTAAGAAGGATTCCTATGAATGTTAGACATGATGCATTCTGGAGGGACCATAACGTTATGGACTGGAAAATGAGATCTGTTGGTGAGACCAGGGAAGGGCAATGGCCCTCAGCTGCTGCAGTGGGCCTGCATATAGCCCTTATATTAAGGAAATAATATGGACAATAATCCTCTTACCTGTGCTTTTGTTCTTAATTTATTTAAATAAATATTCGTGAAGTTCCTTGTCAGAGCTGCCAGAATCTTCTGCAGTTCATCAGTGTTGACTTTAAACACTGTTTCCAACCCTGACCTAGAGAGAGAGAGAGACACGACCCACGAGTTATTGTTAAAATGTAAACTATTACACTGCCCTAAGCATTTTATCCAGATTGCCATCTTGGGCATGGTTTTTAAATAAATTTTTGTACCTAGTACTTCCTCTTGGCAACACTTAATGGGTCAAAGTAATGACTCTTTTGCACAAGTCTATACACTGAAAATTAATCACAACTGAGTAACTGTGCTTAAAAAAACCACCTATTTCCTCATCAGGTGGAACAGTTCAACCACGCAGAGCAGTTGCGTAGGCTGGTTACTTTTTTACTTGAGCAACACTTCTGCTAAATGATCTCCAGGTACCTGAGAGAGCATTGATGGACTTGTGGGATAAAAGAGAAGTAAATCATACAGCCAGAGATGGGAAAGCTGCTGACCCTGCCTCCCCCAGAGCCCAGCTGACTCACTCCGCCCAGCATCTATCAGCAGGGGCTGGGACAGTGGAAACCTGTGGGAGTTCCCAGGGACGGTGAGTACCTCTGCAAGGTGTCACACCAACAAGGAAGAAAACACAGCTTCCAAGAGGTTAATGAAATCCCCAGCTCTCCAGGTGGGCTCTGGGGACATTGCAAGCTCCTGACTTGCTTCTCACTTCCCATCCCTGCCCTGCTGTAACACACCCCAGGGGAACGAAGGCAGCACCACCAAAATGCCAGTGGTCCCCAAGCTTCCCTGGTTGTGGCATGTCCACTGCTGTGACCACAGAGCATGGTGGGTTCCTGCCACTCCCAGTAGTTAATTTGTATGTCTGAGGCTGCCCAGACTGGACTACAAAATACCTAATAGCAACCCTCTTGCCCCAGCCTGGGGGCTCAGGTCCATAACTCCCAGTCACTGGAAAGTCCCTTTCATCAGTCAGGCTTGGAACTGGAGCAGTTGTGTGACTGTCTTCGTTTCTGAAAATTATGCCTGGTGATTTAGAAAGTGAATTAGGATGAGTGAAAAGGAGTGTGACCAAAAGCTTAATTTCTCCAATCTCATGTTAGACCAGATAGGGTGAGTGAACCTCAAGCTGTCTGAGAGCAGAAAGTTCCATCTATAGCACTTGGGAACCACAAACTTCAAAATGCTTTCAAGTGTCTCAACACAAGTTAAGCTGATATTGGAGCTTTATCAGATGATATCAGAGCTTTAGCATCCTCACACTGAAAGAATCTTTCTTTTTTTCACCATGGAAACAGTCTGGAAAAGCCACCTCTATCAGAATGAATTCTGTCCTGTCTGAAGAGGTTGATAACAGACTGTGATGGCAGATCAAGTAAGAATAAATCAAAGTCCTTAAAAATCAAAATGTTTTGATATAAGAAAAAAAATGTCTCACTGGAAGTGTCCAGCTGACTTTTCCAGTGCTTCACTACAGGCAAGGTTTTCCTCCACTGCTTTGCCTGAGATGCTAGAACCCACTATACACTCTTTTGTTTTGGTTGCTGTTGTACCAAAGTAAACCACTTGACAAATGTCCCATTGCTCATAGTAAGAAGCTCCCAGGATGCTGGAAGTGTCACTTTGGATTAAGAAGGATTCCTATGAATGTTAGACATGATGCATTCTGGAGGGACCATAACGTTATGGACTGGAAAATGAGATCTGTTGGTGAGACCAGGGAAGGGCAATGGCCCTCAGCTGCTGCAGTGGGCCTGCATATAGCCCTTATATTAAGGAAATAATATGGACAATAATCCTCTTACCTGTGCTTTTGTTCTTAATTTATTTAAATAAATATTCGTGAAGTTCCTTGTCAGAGCTGCCAGAATCTTCTGCAGTTCATCAGTGTTGACTTTAAACACTGTTTCCAACCCTGACCTAGAGAGAGAGAGAGACACGACCCACGAGTTATTGTTAAAATGTAAACTATTACACTGCCCTAAGCATTTTATCCAGATTGCCATCTTGGGCATGGTTTTTAAATAAATTTTTGTACCTAGTACTTCCTCTTGGCAACACTTAATGGGTCAAAGTAATGACTCTTTTGCACAAGTCTATACACTGAAAATTAATCACAACTGAGTAACTGTGCTTAAAAAAACCACCTATTTCCTCATCAGGTGGAACAGTTCAACCACGCAGAGCAGTTGCGTAGGCTGGTTACTTTTTTACTTGAGCAACACTTCTGCTAAATGATCTCCAGGTACCTGAGAGAGCATTGATGGACTTGTGGGATAAAAGAGAAGTAAATCATACAGCCAGAGATGGGAAAGCTGCTGACCCTGCCTCCCCCAGAGCCCAGCTGACTCACTCCGCCCAGCATCTATCAGCAGGGGCTGGGACAGTGGAAAACTGTGGGAGTTCCCAGGGACCGTGA